GAAAAAAACTGTTTTGAGAGGATAATGTGACAATTGTATTAGACACATCATAAATGTTAGTAGGCCCAGCAATAATTATAATAAATCAACAGAATCCATGAATTCGAAAGAGAGGTGTCCCAGGAAGGGATTTTCACAGACTGAGGAACCACCCACCTCAGCCCCACCATGGCTATGATTAGGGCACTTTCATACTTGAATTTGAATATATTTTCCTTTTGTTTTTTTTCCTCAAAAAAAAAAAAATTAAAATTATCTAAAATAGTGATAATCACGAAAAAGGGCATGAAAAACCAGATCACATTCTAAAAACAAATTTATTCCCCCTCTTCTCAGCAGTCACAAGACATACTCTGAGTCAGGTGCCGACTCGATGCAGTTTAATGTCATACCCAGAAGGGCGCATCTGTTTTGTAAGGTTGAGGGGGAGGACATTTTGTGAGTCGGCACCTACCTCAGTCAGACTCACCATGGTTGGAGCTGAGGAGCGAAAATGTGAGGAAATCTAAAATGTTGATATAAAGTAGTGTTATTTTGGTTATCATCGACTATTTTGAAATTAATAATAATTAATTATTGTATTCCTTTTGGTGTTAAGGTGGATAGAGTCATTTGTTTTCAATTCAAAATCACAAGAAACTATAATTATTTGGACAGACGTAGGCCTATAATTGTACATAATCAAATGAGAAGTAAAGCGAATATGCAAGCTTTTCAGAACAACTGGCACTATCATGGAATATCATACCATGTACTTCCACTAATCTCAATGTTTAGAGATTCCAACAACTTTGCAGTTGAGACTAAATGTTTTGAAACTCCTTTTTCTTTTTGCAACGCCCAGAAATGTGTTCTCTACCACCGTGACCGACGGTACTATTTTTCAACTAGAAATTTATTACATTTTTCCTTGACAAATACGTACATTTTAAGATTTTCTCCGAGCCTATTAGGTACCTGACTTTAATTGGCAGCATTACATGCTCTGGTCCCTTGGTATGAGCGCTTGTCAGAGACCTCAAATGACTGAGTCTCGCACTAATGCGCAAGACTTGATAAGTTTAACCACTTACAGTATGTGTGGTATGTCTATAAATCCTTGGTAAGTTAATACATCTGAATAAATTGTACCTGGAAGGATATTGTTAGTCTCCTCACACTACAAAGTACGTGCAGTAACAAGGTGAATTACTGTAAATCCAATTCGTTGTTTCAGCTGTGTATGAAGACCCAATCAACATAAAACGAACATGGTTTATGTTGACTGAAACGACGTTAGCCTTAACTTTACGGATAACGTCATAATTTATTCATATTTCGTTGCGGAGTACCTTAATTTCAGGATTTTACGTGCTCGACGTACGTTATTTACGGGTTTGCGCATGCGTATTTCGATTTGTTTACAAAAGGGGCGGAGCTATCACGCTGCATGTTGGGTATTAACGTTAAAGTTAAGGTTAACGTCGTGCATCGAAAACTCCCTATTTTGTACAGCTTCACAAGCTAATGTAATTAATATGGCGTACATACTAATAATGAAGGGAAAATATACAAAAACAAAGAAGATACCAATGGTTTTTCTAATATCTATGTTTATTTACATTACTGTCTCCTGCTACTAACACATCAACCTTATATTATATTTTGGTTACCTGAAACATTATCACTATTGTTGTAGTTATTATTTTGTGCAAATATCAATGTTATACTGTATTTTCTTTCATATTACAGTACCTGACTACTGTAAATATATGTTCTATAAATGATGAGAATGAATACAGTATATTGCTCCTGTAATTTGAAAAAAAAACCCTCCCAAAATGTAATTTACAACCATAATAAATATGCCAAGCATTAATACTGTACAGTAACTTAATATAGCAAACTACAGTAATTCCACCTGATCCAATCGTTACTACACTATTTAATACCGTTATCACAGTGGCGAATCTAGGGAAGTGCGCAGGGGCACATCTTCCTAGTCGTGCCTACCCAATGAAAAAGTTCAAAGCAACAAAAATTGTGCTCAATTAGATAAAAATCACCTCATATCAACTTAGTTTGCAAGCTATCAGCCACTCACATAATCATCAAGTCCCCCACTGCTCCCCTCTCCCCCTACCACATAAAGACAACTTTTAGTGCTGCATGTATTGCATGTATGACAATGATTCTTAAAATGGAACCATGCATGTCAATACTCATTAGATTTATTTTGTCATATATACATGTACAATACACATACAATGAAATTGGGTCTGGTTCCCTAACAAACATAAAATACGAAAATTCAAACTACTGTAGTGACTTGTTCAATACCCTAATAGCGGAGTTTTACATTGTTACAAAGTTTGTATTATTTCTGAGAATAGAGGTTGTTAGGATTCTCCCAATTAAGTGCCACTACGTATTCAATACGGTATATATTATCTGTAATATGTTCCAAGACTAACATCCTTACTCAAGAAAAGCCCTTATTCAATCATATTTCTGTTGTTCCCACATGAGAAATCACATGTCAAGGAATCATACAATGTTGATCAAAATCTGATAGCATTTCAAGAAGACTAAAGTAAGTATAAAAACATGTATTCAAAATAACTACGTATTATTATAGTAAAACTTTGTAAATTGGCAGTAAATAGAATATGAAATTACAATAGAGGTTTTGACATATTTTCAACTTACATAATGTATGGCGCTGTGTAGCACTAGGCATACATAATAGCTTGTTGAGATACAGCCTTAGAGTTATCTACTAAATTTAAGCAAAAATTGTTTAAGTAGATGCTTGATTTGTTAACATTTTAAAGATAACCACTAGAGTACTCATAATTATAGGTATACTGTATATACAAATGTTACAAAACCCCAGATTAAAGAATTACATACTATGATAGCTTTAAAGTATATTTCTTATTTACAGAATCAATAACAATGCATTCAAGGTAATTAAAACAATCAACCACAGGGGACATAACCCAACAGATAATAGACCTTTCCAAAGTGTCAATTGAAACAGGCCCAGGAATACACACATGTTGTCCCATAAATGCACGTGTTAGTATAATTTTTAACAGTCGATTTGTGGGAATTTGGTAACAATATCCAAGGGGCTGGGCTTAATGGAAAGGTCCATTATTGGGGAGGGGGTGACCTTCAGTGCCAAGGCTCTTGAGTGCTTGTGGGACAATCCCACATGCATGGCCCAACCCATTGAATACCACAAAAGCTGTTGGTCATTTAATTTTGATTGACAGTCCAGCCAAAGCTCATGAGTGCTTGTGGGACAACACCACATGCATGGCCCAACCCATTGAATAACACAAAATCTGTACAAAATAATAATAATACAAAATTTGTATTAACTCAGTTTAGGTAGAATATATTGCCAATTTTTATTTGAAGCTTCTTTTGATCCGCATTATCCCTGACAGGTTGATTGGAAAAGGGTTGACGTAATCCTTCACTCTTTCCACTTCAACATGTTTCCAATTGTTCTCTGTGGAGGAAAATATATTGATTATAGAAAGTAATGAATTAGCTTTAAAATAATAAAGCAACTTAATGGGTTTATTGGATTCCTGTCATTAATAATGAGCTCTTGAATTTTAAGTATCAGCATTAGTACAACAGAGGAAAAAAGCATTACCATAGTGTGCATGCACAAGTTTAATGGTCCACGCAACACTAAACACACAGCAAACAGTAACAAAAACTAACTTTTAGTTTTCATATGATAGTATATGGACACAATAGGTACAGGTCTGGGATTGCTCCAGAGATGAGGCAGATGGTTGATCTTAAGAGACCACACCTTATTATTACTTTATTTATTATACTGTTTTTAAAACGTTTTTAGTTGTTAAGCGCATACAGGAAGTTCTTGCAATATACGCTATATAAATAGCAATACAGTAAAAATATAAGAATTGATCATTTTTGGCCGACTAATTATAATTTCCAGAATTTTGTAGAAACACATTACATATTTCTTTATTGTCAGTAATATTACAACTTAACCACCTATAGTTAGAAAATAAGAAAATATTTACCCGTCGACTGTTTCCATTCTTTGGTGTTTTCATTACAGGGGTTCCTTTACCCTCATCTGGTTTAGGCTTGTTTTTATTTTCAGATGGTTTGTTGGACTTCAGAAATCCTTTACCAAAAGACATCCGCGTTGAACGCCTCTTGAATTGTGGCTTTGGCGAGAAACCGATGCTAAACGCAGTGCTCTCCCGTCGTGTATTTACTACCTTGAAAGAAAAACAAAAGCATTTTTACAATTTATTATGCCAAATGCCAAAAAAAACAAACAATGGTGTAAATGTCGTCTATTTTGAAAGACATTTGAATACTCTAACCTGTGTTTTTTCAGACCCCTCCCCCACCCCCGTAGGGGGTATTTATACGCTGTCCATTATTCTTTATTTTGAATCATCGTTTTGGCAATCTGATTTTTGATTTACAAAGAGAAGAATTCTCCGTGTCGAAATTATGTTAATATGAAAAAAATCAAGATGCAAGAAAGCCGAATTGGACATAAATTTTTCTACAGAACTGTAAAAATTTAGCGTTTACCCCGCATTTATCACATAATTATCTGTAATTATAAGATTTACTTCAGTACCTCTAGTTCTTTTTTCAGAACTTCTGGTTCTTTTGGCTTCTCCTCATTTACTGATATTGTTTGGAGAGGTCTGCGACTAGGTCCGACCTTCTTTGGTTTTGGCGGCATGGCATTTGGCACTGTAAATGTGGTGGATGTCGGCGGCCGAAGCTATTATAAAGAAAACAATAAACTCTTGTGAATTGATAATTAAAAATTGAACAGAATTAAAACTTATATAAAATAATAATAATATAAATATAAATAATATAAAACTTAATAAATTAGAGATTTATTTTCCAAATTCAATAGAGCACATTTAAATCAATTCTAGCAAGCAGTTTTATTTGGATTCTGATCAAAGTTCACTTCTATTCTGTTAACTAAGCTCTGTCCACTCTATAAAATTTTCTTTTACTAGGGCTAGCACACACAAGTAGGCTAACCAAGTCTATGTGGTGAGAGGAGATACTCTACCTTTGACGACCTTTGCAGGTCATCCAACCCGTCACTCTTCCGTTTACGGGTCTGTCTTAATTGATAAGTTGGCACACCAGCTGCCCCTTCAAGGACTGCCGTGGTCTTCAGGTTAATATCTGCTTTTTCACACGCCTGTGTCTCTGCCGGATACGATGTTTGTAGATGCGGAAGGCAGAGTGTGTTTCTACGTTTTAATTCTGAAATGCGGTCCCAATCAAAGTCGTCCGGTTCCTCATTCTGATGGGAATTTGTTATGAAAAACCCTAAACGACCTGTCAATCACAAAAAAATGTAAAATTTTATTTTAATATGAATACAAGGTTTTTAATATCGACTTTTTGTCCAGATTTTTTGGTAGCCCAGCAACATACAAGACAGCTTTCAAATTGAGAACGACAGCATAGACCAAATTCACTCATTCGTGACTGCTTTAATGTTTTAAGGACGTGTATGTAGATATATCACAAATGCAAAACACAGATGCACCAATGTCTAATGCACAATACAGGTATAGTCCATGTTCTGCCTGAACATATATATTCGGCCGACAACTGTTCCAAATTTCATGACAGAATGTAAAGCACGTTTAGACACATGCAGTTAAATTAACATGACATCATTACGTTCTACATCGTCACAAATTGAAAGTTAATAACACACATTAAGTTACCTTTACCAGTTGTTGCCCTGTACTTCGGTGAATCAAATTTTTTAGATTGTAATAAATTCTGGCTGGCACTTAGCTCGTCTAAGGTTCTACTCAGACTATCCGGATAATCAGGGCCTAGGCTGCTAGCTAGGCTCAGCTGACTTCTAGTAAAGCTGTACTTGCTTGCATTTGGGTTAGCAATGCTGAGGTGAGACTGGTCTTTGCTAACAATGGAGGTTGAAGCAGGGTTAGGTTCTTGGGTCGTGTTAAGACTAGTAGATGTTTTAGACATGTTGATAATGATAGTAGTACGGCCTGTGACAAATAAAAGATTTAATGAATGATATGAATTGGTGCTTTTTTTTCATGCTAATTAAGAAATTGCTACATACAAATGTTATATGGCCAAACTGTATTTGGGTGTAATATGACATGATCATGCCCATAATTGGGTGTTACAGTATAACGACATCACCATGCCCGTATATGGGCACATCACACAAATCTGTCAAATCAAATTTGATAGTGTGGACAATGAACCTTCAAATTTAAGGTCTGTCCTGGGATTTATCCATCTCAGCTTAACAAATGTCTTAAGTCAAAGATGTCCCTAAGCAACCATTTTAAGCTGATTTATCAAACCATCTGTGCAAAATCTTAGCTTGCAAATTATTTTAGGTGGCACATGCATAAAATCAACTTTTAAATTTTAAGCAATTTTTAAAGCTAAGCAATATTGATAAATCCGGATCCAGAAATAATTGAAGTTGTGGATGTTGTTCTGGTCACCATTATCATTATCACTTATTATCATATATGCACATGCAGCAATTATAGGCCTAATAAATGTAAGAATAGCAAAGGTGTTGTCCAATTACTTTTATTGATTAAGTATCTTTTGATGATTAATGGCAAAACTCACTTTTAGACCGGGATCTTGTGCTTACTCCAGAAGCATTAGAGTCCAGGGAGGCCAGACTTGCCCTTGAGCTAGGCCTAAGATCCTCCATGCTTAGGCCTAGACTTCCATCAAGGCTATCCATTGAGTGACTAGCGGCACTTTCATCAAGCACATCACTTTTTGTACTGCTCACCGAGTTTGACTTTTCTCTGAGTTGACGGTCAGCAAAGTCAAGCTGTGAATAGATTTAGAATGGTGGGGACAGGTCTTAAGAAAAATTATGACACTAGGATATGTGAGATTAATCTCATATCTCATATGTAAGATTAATCTCATATCTCATATGTGAGATTAATCTCATAACAATGGTAGGACTTAGGTAGTTATAGTTGCACTATCTTAAGATATATGACACTAGGATATGTGAGATTAATCTCATATCTAACAAAGCAGAATAAAAATGGTAGGACACTAGGATATGTGAGATTAATCTCATATCTAACAAAACGGAATAAAAATGGTAGTTATTGTTGCACTATCTTAAGATATATATCCACACTTCAACTTTCTATGACAATTATTTCTGTGATTTAACTATATATTGGCATAATGATGTCATATCACACCCTTACATTGGAGTAATTATATCACATGTCACTCATATATGGGAAAATTAAAGATTTTTTTCACAAAAAATTTAGTGTGCCCAGACCCTTATTTATATGTGCTTAGTTGTTTGATGGACATACAGTAGTCTGCAATGGTCGTTACATTTTCAATAGAATATGTGCCATACTTTGCCCCTAGCTTTAGCTCCCAAAGGTTATAATGTCATTTGTACCTGTGTTTGGAGGGAGCGTACACGTTGCGCCAAATGTTCTTTCGCAGAACGTTCTTCCATGAGCTCTGTGTTGTCAGTGAGCGCTTTTGCATGAAGCTTTTCCAAATTGCACTTCATAACGTGATTTTCATTCTCCAATGAGAAGATCTACATAGCAAAGAGGATTAAGATTGTTAATAATAAACAATTGTTAGTTATCAAGAAAACAGGACAGTAATGACATGATGAAGCCAATAATACACAGAACTACAGTACAGTTAGAACACAATAAGATATCTGTAAAAGACTGACAGTGAGTTTAGTGATCATCAGTATTAATTGTCTACCACCCACCCTTGGTTTTCTACATCTAATGGTTGGAGACTTATATATCGCATAATACTATCTGCTTACCTTCTCTGAAAAGTTTCCTTTTTCCTTCTCCAACTCTTTCTTCATCTCTTGCAGCTTCTCATTAGCTTGTCTTTCCAGATCACTCTTGTAAGCGTTAGCGTCAGTGCAGGTCTTGGTCAAATCCTTCTGCAGCTTCTCAGCTTTTGCTTTGTACTGCTGGGCCTCTTTCTCCATACGCTTCTCTGCAAGGAAATTGTTGGTAGAATATATGAAGGGCTGTCTAAAGAAAAACATTTGCAAATATAGTATCATCATCTTTTCGAGTCAGTTTAACCAGAATGCAAAGATCTGCCTCACAACATCCTGCCAAGAATTAAGTGGACAAGGCCTTCAATATCAAATTCTATTTGTTATAATCTATAATACTAAATCCCTATACAAACAAGACCTGTCAGAACATGTTATTCAATGGGAGAAAGTGGAGGATATGATCATATTTAAAAAACATAAAAGTGTACGGCTATAGGGTACTGTAGGTGGGTTTTAGCGGAAAACAAAAACTGACTTTGTAAGTTTCATATATAATATACTTTAATATCTGTTATAAATTGATAGTACTATATCTAAAAATTGACTGACTGTAACTGTGGAGTTCCTTTTCCATCTCCTTGTGTTTTGCTGCAAGCTGTTCATTGGCAGTGATCTCCAGAACTTTCTTCTTTTCCTTCAGAGAATCCAACTCTCTCTTGCACTGCTTCTTAGTTTGTGTCAGTTCCAGCTTTGCTGCTTCAAGCTCTTGTTTGAGAAGGTCTGCCTTTACTGCTTCTCCCCTCTTTGTTGTCTCGATCTCCCTGTTGTACCTTTTGAAAAATGTAGAGTAAAATTATGAGGCAGGCCCTGGCGAAATGATTAAGTTGTCGCACAGGCCAGTATTATAAAATATGGGAGCTCAAAATTTTTTTTTATAAAAATCCAAATTTGATTTTCACTACAGATCAACAGTTTAATATCTTATTAATCATGTCACATTAGTTCGTTCAATGTGATTTTAATAGTTAATCCTATTAATGTACAGTATGCGCAAATAACTCAAGGCAATTACTCAAAATCATGTTTATAACTTGACTCTAAGAGTGCTGTACTTTCACTTTCCAATAACTTAGGCTTGAAATGTCCAAATTCAATTCAGTTGTCTGAAAATACCAATAAATTTAACTTCAATTTTATGCCTCATATTGTATCGAATTTCATCAGGTCAATAATGATGAATGATGCTACGCTACACTGTCAGTCTTGAGCTAATAATCTTCAATAAAATAAATAAATTCAAAATATGCAACTAGATACTAGTTTTCAATTTAAGATAAGATAAAAAAATGTTCTTGCCAATTTAAACAGCCAAAAATAATACTTTTTCTTTGCAATGGCCCTCAATCTGGCTAGTAATCATTGTAAGAATTTTTGTAGTGAAGAGTCTGTAAACTGTCAATACTGAATGAACCTTTTCACTAAGCTCCACCCCTTGGATATTGTTGCCGCTCACACAAAACGACAGAGTGAAGGCATACAAACAAATGTATGTATGTCAGACAAACATGTAAACATGTTCCAGGTCAGTTAAGTTCTATAAGGTCTATTGCCTCAATCTGTGTCGCATTAAAAGTTGATAATTTGATTCTTTTAAATTAGCAAGTCAAAATTTGATAGATTTAACAACAAACTGTTTTTAATGCATTGAAATTGGCAAGCATAAGGTTCAGTAAACTAACCTCTCCTGTAATTCAACAATCTCCTTCTCATGACGTTCCTCAGAATTCTTCCGGAGTTCTTCCCACTTCCTTCGCATTTCCTTGCTAGAGAATTCCATGGCACTTAGATTCTGTTCATACTGCATTTCAAGCTCATTCATCTTGTTTTTAAGCTCGGCATTCTTCTGTTTGAGTTCATCCTCTCGCTTCTGCATTGAACAATGGTTCTTTTCAGCATTTTTGTTAGACTCTTCACATAGAGTCTCTAACTCCTCTTTTAGATTTTGACATTTACGCTGTTCTCCTGACAATAGGATAGTTCCTTCCTTAATGTCCTTTATCAACCCTGCTTCCCTCTGTTCCCATTCACTGGTTTTTCTGTTAAGTTCTTCCTTCAGATTTTTGGTGAGGTTCCTCTCTTCGGTAACTTCTGTTTCTAATATAACTTTCATTTCAAGGAATTGGGCATTCTGCCTATTCATTTCTGACTGATGTTTAGAATTGGCGAGATCAAATTGTTCCTGTAGAGCATTGTTACTGCAGCTGGCGTGTTGAAGATTAGCTGTTACCTCATTCAGTTTCTCAGTCAGCTCATTGATCTTTCTGCCATTAGATTCCTTGATATTTTCAAGCTCCGTGGACAGTATTGATATTTCCTCCACAAGACCAGTGTTTTTTTCCTGCTCAGCATTTACTTTTTCTGACATGTAATTAAATTCCTCATTAACTTTACCAAGAGTTACTTCCTTTTGCCTCAGATCAGCTTGAAGACTGGTAATCACTGCATCCAAATCTGCTTTGAGTTTCTCTATCTTAGAATCTTTGTTAGCAAGGTTCCTTTGCATCTCACTCACTTTAACATCCATCTGAGATTCAAGATTCACAATTGTCTCATTTTTCATTTGAAGCTGATTCATGACCTCTTTCATCATCTGTTGATGCTCCAGTTCCATTTTATCTGACTGACTCTTAGCTAGTTCCAACTTCTCCACAACCGTCCCCTGATGTGACAGCTCTTCCCTTAAACCCCTAACCTGGTTCTCCATCTCAGCAATAATTGCTTGTTTCTCTGTCTGTACTTTCTCCAACTCTGTCCTTAACTTTTCTTTTTCATCTGTAGCTACTTTAATCTGTTGAAGTAAAAGACTTTCAGAATTTTCAAATTTTGTTTGCAAATTATTGTATTCTAAGATTCTATCTGATATCTTCTTTTCTTTAACAGACTTCTCCTCTTCAAGCTGCTCTCTAACGCTAGCTAGAATTGTTAAAGCTTCCTTTTTCTCTGATGTCACTGCAGACAACTCTTTTTGTAGTTGGTCATTCTTAGTCTGCAGCAAAACAGCCTGCTGGTTAACAGTGAAGACTGTATTCTGTAGACTTTCACATCTCTGCTGGGATCCTTTCAGGTTGGTGCTGAGGGAGGAGCACTGCTGCTTGCTAAGGTCAAGTTGCTCTGTAATCTTTGAAAGACTTGTTAAAGCTTCCTCCTTCATTGACCTCACTGAAGTCAGCTCCTTTTGTAGGTGTTCATTCTTAGTCTGCAGCAGAACAGCCTGTTGGTTCACAGTAAGGATTGTATTCTGTAGACTTTCACATCTCTGCTGGGATTCTTTCAGATCGGTGCTAAGGGAGGTACACTGTTGTCTGTTAAGTTCAAGTTGCTCTCTAACCCTGGACAGACAGCTTGAAGCTTCCTCCTTTTCCGACCTCACTGCTGTCAGTTCTGTTCTTAAGTAGTCTTTTTCAGTCTGCAGCAAAATGGCCTGCTCTTGAACAGTGTGGACAGTTTGCTGAAGGCCATTACATCTCTGCTGAGATTCTTTCAGGCTGGTGCTAAGTGTATTACACTGCTGTTGGCTATGTTCAATTTTTGTTTCCAATCCTGATATGTGGCTCTGGGCTTGGTTCAGTTGAGTTTTTACTTCCATATAATTAGCCTGAAATATAAGAGATAATATTTACATTATACTGTATAATACTTAGATAGTCACGTACAGTATATGCAAAAATGAGAGTTCACTATTTTTAAAAAATTTAACCACTCACATCAAAGGTCTTCTTGGTGTTTTCCAGTTCATCTTCCAAGTCCAGGACACGTCTGTCTGTTAGCATTCCCATCGACTCTCCCAGGCTCTTGTTCACTGAAGAAAAGGAACAGCATTTTACTTACAACCACCAGATAAATTAAATATATGACCACTAGGTAATGAGGGCTAGTACAGCTACTTTAACTATATAAGTATACTAACATGAATTCTTTTCTGCTAGCTCGCCTTCAAGCTCTGCTATTTTCTCCAGTAGAATCTGCTGTTTCTGCAGAGCTGTGTTAGATATTTCCTCTTTGGAATTCACCAGCAGCTCCATCTCTTGCCTGAGTTGGGTCACGGTATTCTGCAGTCCCTCATTGGTAAAATCTGCTTTGTGCAACGACACCTTCAGTCGCTCATGCTCTGATCTTATAAAATCATAGTTCTTCACCTGAAATTATGTAATATTATGTCTTTAATGATAAAGTGCAATATGTGATGTGTACTCACAAAACCTGGACTAAGTTGTAAGAATAAAATATCAAGTTTGATACTTTGACTGTATTATGTTCATTAACTATCTATTTATCATCTGCAAAGATTTTAACCATATCTGAAAACTACAAGTTACATTTTGTAAAGAGGAATGATTTAAATTGAGGTTTTGGTAAGTAGCACTACAGAGAAAAAAAGATTTAAATTCCACAGTGTATGCACATGTTGCTATGGCAACACATGGCTTGGAGTTTCAAGAGCTACATTCACTGTGATAATAAAATTAAAATAATCTGCAGATTTCAATTGTACTTTATAAAAAGTTTCAGATAGAAATCATTGACATACTACTGTCTGGAGCTCATCCTTCTCAGCCATCAAGTTCTCCACCTGTTTCTCAAGATGTGCCACCATTGTCCTGGATTCTCCAGTAATGGCTGTCTTCTTTCGCAGTCTTTCGAGATAAAAATGGTACAAATAATAATAATTTATAGCACTTTCTTGAAGTGCTTCACAACAAGAAAGATACATAAAAAGAAAACTTTAACAATCAAACCAACAAAGAAAGAGACACAGTGTGCAATAGTCCTTAATAATTACCTAATAACCTCTCGTTGCACTTTCTCTAGCTCCACCTTGGTTGCCTGGTGTTCATCTGCTTCATCCTGGAGATGCCGGTGGCTACTCTTGTCAGCCAACAGTTCTCGGATTTTTAATTCTGAAATATAAAAATAACCACAGCTTCAATGGGGCATTTCCTTTTCAATAAAATCATTGATGATTACTTTAGCCTATCCTTTACCATTAATAAGTAGGATACCATTTTTTGATTTGTATAAAACAAGTTTTACCTTTCAACATGTGGTTGTGGTCATTTATCATATAAATATTACAGATATGACATCATTGTAAATGTTAGCAGGGACTTCTAATTTTGGTGTTTTGCTTAAAGCCCTGTCAAGACTATCAGATTTTGTTCAAAGGAAAACTGTTGTATGCCCATATATGGTCATGATGTGCCTATATATGGTCATGATGTGCCTATATATGGTCATGATGTGCCTATATATGGTCATGATGTGCCCATATCGTCGCTCACATCACGAACTAACACAATTAAATTCAATTGTGTTACTTCGTGAAATCAAAAAAACGCATCAAAATACGCGCTGCTGTCGTTAAGCACTTTTTGTGTGGTAAAGAATACAAAATTGCTTGACAACCAATATGCACTCGT